TCTACTTAAAAAAACTCTACACAGTTATACCTCCACTGTTATTTGAACTTATTCAGACCATATTAGAAAGTTGTGTGTTTGCCAAGAGAGAACACGCTGTTCCAAAATCAATGCATTTGAGCTTGGCTGGGATTTTCATTACTCAAATAGATGATATTAATATCTTCTGGGGGGAGGTTTTATGTTCACACCCGACACAGATTGAGTTATTTGGCCACGGTGACCATAGATATTTTCGTTTTTTCATAAGACCACTGCATATGCTGTGTTCTTATGTTATCTAGTAAGAATTCAAACTAGAGTTTCCAGTCCTGTTTTTTAAAGAAATGTCTACTGGGTTTCCACTGGTCATGAAAAATCATTAAAAGTCATTAAATTATTGTTTTCTAAATTAAGGCCTTAATTGGCATTAAAATTCATTAAATATGATTATCATGGCAATTAAAATCTTTATTTAAAAATGTAAAAAAAATAAAACTATTTCGTCAGATATATCAGATATAACTGGTTCTGCGTGTTTGTGCAGAACTGTTTCCGTTTGATCAAAAAGCCGTATGTTGGATGGTGGGAAAAGATGCTTGAGGCGGAGAAAAGGCTAGAGAATGGGAAAATGCAAATTTTAACAAAATTGGCTGGAAAGCGAGGAATTCGGGACATGGATGCAGCCTGTCGACAGTAAAGATGACAAACTCTGATTTTGCCATGAGTCATGGGTACTTGTTGATGGCATTAGAAATATTTCTTAGAGCATTAAAAAGCATTAAATTAGTTACTCATTCCTGTTTAGACCCAGGTCTAAATTGTTTACTCTATAGCCAGCCCATCTTAATTAAAATATGTCTAACTTTAATGTAAACTTGCAAAGAGTCTATTTCTAAAGTGGCAAATTTCTCTGGTTTCTATATATCCCCTTTCTCACTGACTGAAAACCTATTTAAACCTGGGAACAATCAGCTTTTAGTGGCAGTGGGAACAGCTTATTGATGTGTGTCTAACCGGGTCAAACAACTCGGCAAGCGACCCTTGTTAAAATCGCCTCGGCTCTGACCCGCTAAATTACGTGACATCATGGAAAGCAACGTATGACGTCATCACACAGCCCTAACCACGTCTGATGTAACAATCCTTTTTACATTCGTTAAGCATGGCACGGCACTGGTGAGAGGGATGCGGACAGATAATAGAGCAAAACAATAATGCACACTTACTATGCCCTGGCTTCCTTACATGTTGCTCTCCATTGTTTACTTTAGTGATTTATGTCATACTGGTGACATGATCAACAC